TCTTTGGAAACGTTCGTGATCTTTTTCTCCAACAATTAACTATCCGTAAAGGAATTTAATCACATCAGTAGATAAATTGTTGTTTAAAAAGGTAAATCGAAAATGTTTAAATTAATTATTAAAGTTCAAAAATGAAAAAAAGTGTAACTCGAATGGTTTGAGATTTACTGGGCCTATATATTTCCGCTGTAGATAGAATGAGGATCTAAACTTTCTTTTTTTTTTCTTTTGGTGATTAAACTTAAATATGGCTGAAAATAATCGATTCTTCTATTGCCCGGGATTCATTCTTATTCTACGTGACACCGGCGTATTAGTGATGCAGAAAAATATGTCCATTGCTAGCTGTTTTGGTAAAATCTATTGATATCTCTTCCCGGAAGCGTCAATATCAGCGTGTTAATTAACATTCTCACTTTTAAATGGGATGTATTTAAGTTAAAGATATAATTTAAAATATAAAAACTCATAAGAGAACGTTGTCTAGATTAATTTTTTCTGGCTTTTTTCAATGGAATCTTTAGGCTGATAAATTGAGGAAAGTGGATTTAGTTTAACATTAGTCACAATGGTAAGAAATCATCGGATTTTTACTTATGTATAAAAAGTCGTATTTAATATAAAAATTCGCGAATTTAGTCAAGAAAATTTATTTCCGCATTACTCTAGTTATGTAAAAGAAGGAGTAAAATGGCATTTACAGCTTCCAACTGTTGCAAATAGGGTTTAAGAGCCTGACGAAAAGACATTTCCAATATATTTGGTTGCTTCTCGATAAAGATGTCTTTGGTAATTAATTACGAAACAGCAATTTCTGGACCTCTAGTAGACAGACGCAGTGTCACCTGCAGAAGTAATGAAACGACAGCCAGTCTAAAAGTGTTGTTAAGTTGATCGCTGCCGACATTCCCATAGTGAAATCAATAGGACCAACATCACAGAGTAGCTGCCTTTCGGGTCGAGATGCTCCACTTCCAAATACCGCTAACCTAACAGTAAGTTAGAATGTTTGCTTGTTTTTTTAATTATGCACATTATGTTTAAACGGGAAGGGAATTATGCTCATTTGAATTATTTTTTAAAGAATTTTTTTCCCACATATTTATCGGGTGATTATTTTTTTTATTGGCGTTGATGGTAGTTCTTTCCAGATGATTACAGTGCCATAGTTTGCTTCATCTAATATTACGGAATTTAAACACGCAAATGATGGAGGAGAGGGGAAAAAAACTTGGTTCGGAGTTGAAGCTTCGCTAGTAATTAAGTACGTGTAGTAGGAATTTTATTCTAGATGTTGAAGAAATTTTACGACTGTAATAACTATTAATATTTTAATATTAACTCTGAATTTCAATAAACTTAGAAATGTTTTTAAAGATGAATTAGTTCATAAATAATTTTCGAAAAGATATTAAAAATTTGGCAAATTTAATGCATATAAATAGCGTTAATCGATTCGTTTAAAAAAATTTTATTCTTTTATAAATTTACAAAAGTGTTTGTTTATGTTTATACGAAAACTTAAATAATAAAATTATCGCATCAACATTTTTCCTTAACTTTTTATTTTTGGCTAAGGTAAAAATTCTTTAAATACAAACGCCAATTAAATATATATGCGGGTATATATGGAAAAATTTTTAATTATAATCTACTTTTAACTGGCGAGTAATTTTGGTTATGCTATCTACAGATATAGCTACAATTGTAGCAAACTTTTCTATAATTGATTAGGGAGTACAATATTCATTCTATATCTAGAAGAAAGAACATTACATTGAAAAGCATTAACATAATAAATTGCAAAATGTGAACGGAATATGGAAATGTCTGTATGATGAAAGAGTATAAGAAGTTCGGATTTTAATATAGCTTTTGAAATATGAATATCGTTTTGAGTCTATGGTTTTTAGAGCTTTCATTTAAGCTGAAAGACTGCTTATATACACAATGTTATTTACGATTCTGATTGTTATTGGGCTGCAATTTTCAAATTGAAGACCTATAAATTCCCACTGGCGTCTGTCTATCTGTTTGTCTGTCTGTCTTTCCTTAATCTCGAAAACGGAATTACATAGATGGAAGTCGAGAGCAGATAAAACTTAATATGGCCTCTTGCCTCTAACTGTATAAACTTCCTCTTTGGACCAAAAGTCACGTTATTTCAATCAAAAATTTTCTCCAGGACGGAGTTAGATAGACGAAACTCTACTGTTAACAGACTGTACTGTTAACAGTAGAGTTTCGCTAGACTTATCCAGAAATCTTTGGAGTGTGTTAAATAGGATTCGAACCAAACATGGGTTGTGCAGGGACAGTCTTTTTAGGTGGGGAAAAGTTGCATCCCCACAGTGTGACTGTGGTGCTGAAAGACAGACTATACATCATATCTTGGAAGATTGTCCAGTAAGATCTTTNTAAAAGTAACAATCAAATACTTATTAAATTTTTAAATATTAAATCTTTTTGCACAACTGTACATAATGGAAAAGCTGACTCAAGTATCTTAATATAACAATTATTAATCAAATAACTTTACATTAAAAAAACAATGATAATACTGATAAAGTTAGATGGGAAATGTTTCATCCCTATGTTTTTGATTCATAAAGGATGCTCCATAATTTAAATTATTGGAATGTGCAACACATTTATCTAATATTTATGACCATTAACTTGAGATCAGATGTTTATAATAATAATAATAATAATAATAATAAATAATAATAATAATAATAATATGCAATGTATATTCATAAGTAAATAAAAAAGAGCAACAGACAGAATTGGTTTAAATAATTTTATTAAATTACTCAACTTTTCATGGAAAATAATTACAGCATAAAAAATATTTGTAAAATAAAATATTTTTCTAACTGATTTCCAATGAATTTGTTGAATTTTGACTTCATAAATTATTGGTAATTGCATACCAGTATGTTATAGTCATATGTACTGTACAGTACTTTATAAATATTTTTAAGATCTTAAATCTTGATAATTTATAATTATAGAACACAATATTTTTTAAAAGCTGGTATTTATCAAAAATTAGATCAGGATCCTTTATAGAAATTAAACCTATTTAGACAACTTAATTCTGACTACTGTAGTTACATTCTTGCAAATTTTTTTCCATATTGTTATCATCATGTTAAATATAAATAAAATGTATCAGAACTTTAAATGGGTTTTTAAATTAGTTTTTTATTAGATAACACATCAGAAAATATAATATTTTGTAATGAAATTTGCTATTTAATACATCTAGAAAGCACTAATCTTTTTCATAACGGGATTTAGAGAATATTTTACATGCTAACACTGTAATATTTTCCATATTTTAATTGTAATTAAAATCAATGATAATTTTTCTTCAACTTTCCTCTTTAATTCAAGTATTGGAAAGAGAAAAAAAATTAAATTTCAAATTACGATAATTTTACACCCGTCAATTTCATTTATAATTTCTAATGTGAAAAATAATCGGTAGATGGCACAATATTACAAGATGAAATTTGTCCAGATTTATTATTTTTTCATTTTTATTATAATTAAACCAATCGTAAACGATTAAAATAGTAATTAAGAATAAATATATATATATATATCGAAATTATTACCAAATTAAATTTAAAAAATTAATAATAGCGATATTTTTTATTAAGTGCGCATTCCAATTTTTAGAGAGAGGATAATTATGAAAATTTATTCATTTGACTTCATTTTTTTTTCTAAATTATAAATTTTTAACACGTAAAAGATCAATTAATTGGTTGATTTTTCTCAGATATAATCCATTTAAATGGATATTGTTTTAATTTCAACAGAGGATGGTGTACATGTGTTCAAATAAATTTAGTGAAGTCAGTGGAAAACAATATTACGATACTAAATATAGTATAATCAATATTGTAAATTTATCATTCGGAATTTATTTTGAGAAAGTAAACCAATCGACGTCGGTATAACAGATAATGCATTATGGTAATAAAATTTAATCTGTTGAATATGTATATGTATATATATATATATAAATTGCTATCTTAATCTCAGAATATTAAAGCTCGTTAAGCGTAAATGCCGTTCGGTTTTAGTTTATAAATCTGAAAAATAGAAATTTAAATTAATTTGTTTAATATATTTACTAGTTAAGTCAAAAGAAACTGAGTAAAAGTGTTGTTTTTCTCCCACTCAAACGATAAAATATTTGTGCTTTTCAGAACAAGCATGTAACATTTACAGAGAGAAAGCGAAAGAAGTGAATTTATATAAATTTAATAAATCTATCTGCTTGTGAAGATTCGGATAACATCTAAACAATTCTTTTAAAAAGGAGTAGTATATTTTAGAAATGTCGTTTGCAGGATCCAAGTTTTACTCTTCTAGATCTCCAAAAGTCGCGTTTCAACCCAGTCATTTATCTTATAAAGCATTTCTTATGAATAATGTATCATCATTGAGAAAACATATCATTTATTACACGTCAAACTGTATCAACGCAAGTTAGATTTTTATCTAAATGCAAAAAAACTCATTTTATACTTTAAATCATTCAACGATATCATCTAGTTAGCTCAACTTGCATTGTTGGCTACCAAATTTTTGATAAAAACTTATTTATCTCGCCATCTACATAAATTATATTTTGAGTTATTTTCTTTTTAAATATACATATATGTTTTTTCTTTCTTTTTTTCTCCACCGCGTGAATAAATATGAAACGAGCGCTTCTCTACAAAAATCGTGAACTGCGCTGCAAAGTGACATTTACAGGGGCAACTGACATTTATATATTGGCGCACAATCTTATTCTAAATATGTTTAGAATGCGTGATAATCAAAAAATGCCATTACGGATTAAAACAGCGCGTTTTGTGTTCGTCTCGTAGTTTTTTCCAATTAAAACCTTATTTAAGATAATTAAATTTATCACTTAAGTAGAGAAAAATATAATTTTTATATTAATAAACGACAAAGATATTCATAGAATTTGTTTTTCAAATTGTGGACTTTATCGCTGACGTCAATGATATTCGTTTTGGTCGTTGGTCGATAGTATGACGTCATTTAACAATCCCTCCTTACTACGTCACAAACGAGGTATGGGTAAGCGATGTACATTCACAGCAGAAGGGGGAACAGCATCGGCCTTGTCGCCGGTAGCTGTGATGCGATTTTCCGGGTATGTGCTGTGCAACTGTTGGGGATTGTTTCTGTTATCTTCCCTGACTTACATGTTTCCCCCCAGAACCATTGAGAAAGACGTAGAAGTTGTTTGTGTCACGGTCGAAACGGATAATGGAATCTCGCTGATGTCGTATGTGTGCTGGTGACTTCAATACAATTCAGTAATGGCGAATACAGCAAGATACGGCAGCCATCGCCTATCATCGCCTATCACAAAAGTCTGTTGTGTTACAGTATCGAGTTGCTACTATTAATTTGTTCAGTTCTGACTCCAACGAATCGGTATACATCGGTTAGTGATTTTAGATGTGACGATAGGTCTTCCAAAGCATATAGCACAATGACGACGGAAAAAAAAGGACCAGGTATTGGACCGGTGGCTTCGATGGCACCACCCGTTCCAGATCTCAGCCATTTGACAGAGGAAGAAAGGAGAATAATAGAATCCGTTATGGCCAGACAGAAAGAGGAAGAGGATAAAGAAATGGAAATACTCAGGTAAATCGCAGATTTTTATATTACTTTACAAATGTATATTTAAAAAAAAAATGTAATTATCAAGACCGAGATTTGCAAAGTACTGCAGAATAATAATACATGTTCGGATTATCGAAAAGCAGACGTTGGTAACTAACAATAAAACGAGGCTTATGTCAGTTTAATCTTCCTCTTTCAATATCACTAGGAATAATACTTTACAGCTTTCTTATATTGCGGATTACATTAAATTCTTAGGTCTAGAAAAACTCTCATTTTTCTCACTTCTTAAATTTTAATTTTCGGTTATTATATTTTCCTCTTGTTTTCTAAGCTTATATTTCGGCTTTCTTTCCTAGTGATATTGATTAATGATGTTAATTAAGCGGTGAATTTTATGATTTTTCACTTTATTAATTACGTTAGATTTATTATTTCTTTACTTTTGTATATGTATGATTATATTTTCCTCTTGTTTTCTAAGCTTATATTTCGGCTTTCTTTCCTAGTGATACTGATTAATGATGTTAATTAAAATAAATTAGAATTAAATAGTGCAATACTTTGCGTAACGAAGCGCACTTTTCCTGGTTAGACGGATTTCGTTTATTTCATTGCAAAGTATCGAATTACTTTCTGTAAACTCTTATCCAAGGACTTAAAAGCTTCCGTAAGTAAGACACTGACGTTTTGTCATCCGGTGTAGTTACTGTATTTAGGAGGTCGAATTCGGGAGTACGTTGACCCCGAGATTAGACGTTCAGAGAATGTTGGTGGGGATGACGCATAACTTTTTTTTTTTTTTTAACTATTGTTTTTCGATATTCCTTTGGAAAATAGTTTTACTTTAAACCCATAAAACATTTACTACGTACTTGAAATTTCTATTGTTTCGTTTACGCATTTCTTATCTACCGAATGATTTTAAGAATATTTCCTCCTTTCTACTGGAAAATTCAATTTTTCCTCTCGTTGTAATTATTGGAAACTTTCGAAAGCAAACAACCGTTTTTTAATACCGAATATATTAATTTATAAATCATTTACAGTTTATTTATAACTATTATCTCCTATTAGAACAATGGTATTATCTTTTTTTTATCGTTGTAAATTTTTTAAATCGCAGTTTTAACTTACAAAGACGAGAAATTAATTATGAAATATCGTAAAAGTAAAACTGAAAATAAAAGATTTTTTTATTATAAATAATAATGATATCGGCATTCGATGAAATAATAAAATTATCGAAGTTATTTGTGTTCTTGTTTCCAAGCGATGAGACTGGCTTTAATTATAAAGAACGGCTTTGATACGTATACTCTAATTAATAAGGAACGACTACGCTAATAAAAGTGTACGACATATTTGTTTACATTATATATATATATATATATATATTTTTTTA